CTCTTTCTTGAGGCATAAAATTCCTTTTTGCCTTAATTATGGGGGCTAGTAGAGACACTTCCCCACGGCCTGGCTGAGTGGGTGGGGTGGGGGAGGTGCTAGCTGCCTCTGCCAGGCGCGCAGCCTTCCAGAGGTGATGTCACTCCTGGCTTCGGCTCCGCAGCGAGGGTGGAGCCGGTGTAAGTCTCTACCTGTGGCTCGTCGTGGGTTCCAATAAAACCTCATTAACCCAGATCCGCGGGGAGGGGAAGGGAAGGGAGAAGGGCCTGGAAAGAATTAGTGAGAAGCTTGAATTTTGGAATCTTTTATAGAGGAGTCTTTTCTCTTGCAGCAGAATTTGAGGTTCTGAAATCCCTTGGGACTGAAGTATACAGGGCTTTCTCAGGGAGCTAAGAATCCATGGTACCTTCAAAAGTATTCTCACTTTGAGCAGGGCTTTCTGAACTATTTATTTCCCTTCCGTTACTAACAGAAGAACGCTAACCATAATTGGCCCTCTGGATGCTAGGGTCCTCACTGTGGTCACTGTACCAGGTGATCTTACGTCTCCTGGGCTCATGGAGCTCCGAAGAGTACTTGTTCTCTGTGTCCGGGGCCCCCAGTTTGCTACATTTTGTCCCCCAACTCTTCCATCTCTGTCAGGGAGCAGCCAAAAAGGACACGGGTGTGTTTAAGTGTAATTAGCCACTCTCCCGTTCAGTTCTAATTGGCACTTTTCTCCATTCTGAGAAACGAGTCCGATGTGTTAGAGTTAATCCTAAGACCAGAGTTTTCAGCTCGGAGTAAGGGTCTCGCCTCAGTAATGTTCATGATCTGTGACATGTGGACCCTGTGCCTTCAGGGACCTCCACTGGGACCTCTGCCGTGTCCCTGCTAGTGCCTAGAATGACAGAGAGGCTGTCAAGGGAGTTTTTCTTATAGATATAGATATACATATAGATATATATAGATATATCTTACTGATTTCAGAGAGGAAGGGAGTGGGGAGAGAGGTAGAAACATCAATGAGAGAGAATCATTGATCGGCTGCTTCCTGCACATCCTACTAGGGATTAAGCCCACAACCTGGCACATGCCCTTGACTAGAATTGAACCTGGGACCCTTCAGTCCACAGGCCAACGCTCAATCCACTGAGCCGAACCAGCCAGGGCTCAAGGGAGTTTCTTAGGGGGTCTCTTGGTGAACAGGAATGAGTGACTTTTGGGTGGGAGCACCTGATGACCCCCTGTTCCTCTCCTGGCTTGAGTTATAGGTGACTTGCCAATGACAAGTAGCCGGGACCCAGCGAGGCTGACTGGCCACAGATCCTGATTGGCCCAGGCCTTGTTCTTCGCGTGGGTCCCGTCTCCCTCCACTCAGTGCGTTGATTTGGACGGTAGGGCACCGTCTTTGCACACCTTACTGTTTGGCAGGCCACACACAGCTTTGGGCTGAGCAGAGCCCCAGGACGGAGTCTCCACTCTGCCCCTAATTTACCACGTACTCTTGGGT